AATCCGACGTTCAAATCCGCAAGGTTACCAGCAAGAGACAGCAATTTGTTCATGAAGGATACGGTGGTAATGTTGGTCCCAACGATATTGGTCTCATCTACGTGGATAAACCTTTTAAGTTAAATGCTTTGACTCGTGATGGAACAGCTGCAGTGGCCAAAGTGGATTTACCATCCGGCAAATTCGAATCAACTGGTAAGGGTAAGCTGTATGGCTGGGGACGCGATAACTCAGGATTTTTACCCAACATTCTGAACACTTTGGACGTAGACATTATTGGATACGAAGAATGTAAAAACGCTTTACCTTCCGATGCTCCTATAGATCCTGTCAATATCTGTTCCTACACACCTGACGCTATTGATGGTGCTTGCAATGGCGATTCCGGTGGTCCATTAGTGCGCGTCACTCCCGACGGTACCGAGCTAGTTGGCATTGTATCTTGGGGTTACGTACCCTGTACTGCGTCAGCACTGCCATCTGTTTATACTTGGACTTCTGCTTTCGACAAATGGGTTGAAGAAACCACCAATAACTATGGCACGCCTAGTCAACTCGTTTAAATTATTTTGCCGTAAATGAACAAAATGAAAAATTTTTAGTTAAAAAACAAAACAGATTTGCGTAGTAGGATTGATCTTGAGTACTTTTCACCTAAAAGAAATGTATAATATATCAAGCAAATAAACTTTGACATCAATAAATTTCCGTTCAGTTCGTGTTCATTTAGTGACTCTCACATCCGACATATATTAAAAGAAAAAAAGTAAAAGACACGACAATGAGACACGAAGCACCATAAAATAGGCTACACCATCCGAATCATCTTGAATTGCGTTTGTCGTTAGGTCGAAACACGTCAGTGTACCAAATTTCAGCAAAATTGCAGCTTTCAGGTTGAAAATAATAATACATAATAGGGCGGACAGATGCACTGACAAGCTTAATTCAATTCACAAGTTGATTCTGAATCGACTGGTGTAATGAAAGGTGGTGCTATCGCAAGTCCGTCTCCGCAGTAGCTTAATGCACTCTTGTACCACAAGAGGTAGGCTATAATCAATATTAATTAATATTTAATTTTAATTAATGAGTAAAAGGATGTTCGGATGCAATGTGTTTAGCTTGCGTATCAAAATGCAATACAGACGAATATATGCTCGCTTTGACTTGGCTACATCATTTTACATGAGAGAACATTTGTACCCCACCACACAACATTGAAACTAAATTCGTATCATCAACACATTTGAAAGGGGAAAGGACAGAAACGAGTTCCTTAAAATGTACTTATTCTTGATCAACATCAAATTGTTAATCGAACTGAGTTTGTGTAATGTTGACACTAAATATTCTTCCTGTCGCAAAAGTTGACTTTTACTTTACTTTTTTTTTGGTGATATGACCAATCACCCAATGGGCATCGTCTCAACCTATAAAGAGATGACTGTCCAAAAAATGCGAAGAAAGAGGTAAGGAGTTTGGCCGCAGCCTAGTAGATGTGTGCCCAATTGGTAAGTCATAAGCCTAAACCGATGAAAGACTCATTGCGCTCAAAGTAACTGTACTGAGATGTAACTGGGACTGCGAACGAATTTTAGCCAATGCATTAGTTGCTCTTACATAAGCTCTTCTAACAACTTTTAGTCTCCTTTGAGGCAAATCAGAAACTTGAAGTGCAGTTCTTTTTCTCTGGTATTTCTCGCAATAATACATGATATGTGGCGACAGATATAAGTGGATGGATCATGAAAAATTAATATGTTTCTTTAATAGCTTCTAACGGCTCTTAAGGCATATCAAAATCTGTTACATTCCTTTGAAATTATTGGTTAACGAAAGATATTTGATTCGAAATTTAGATTATACTAAGTGATATATGTTGGTTTGCTTTGATGACAAAATACGAGGTGTATTCGAAAAGAGAGTGACGAGCAATGACGTGTGGGCCGGCGCATTATCGTCGTGCCACATACATGACTGGTTGTTCCGCAATTCTGCGCGTTGTTCTCACATTGCTTCACGTAAACCGCCCATAACTTCGGCGTAGTATTCCTTATTAACAGTACTACCCTCTGACAAGAACACGCGATACATCACGCGATTATAATCCAAGAAAATAGTCAGTACAACCTTCACATTTGACGTAAGTTGCGATCCTTTTTTCGTTATTTGGTTTTCTCTCGGGATGATTGGGATGATTGGGTTGTAGTTTTGACGTCATAACCATATAACCACGTTTTATCACTTGTTACGATGCTTCTGAGTAATTCTGGATCATAGTTGACTTCATTCAACAGCTCCTGAGCAATGCTCACCCGGCGATTCCTTTGGTCAAAACTTAGCAATTTCGAAAAAAGATTTGCTGTCACACGTTCCGTGCCAAAAACATGCGAACAAATTGTATAACATGAGCCAGCCGATACGCCGACGTCGTCAATAACTTCTCTGATATTGATTCGTCGGTTCTCGTAATAATTTTCTTTATCATCCTGGGCGGGCATCGCCCTTAATATCTTCTCGGCTTTCTGTGAAAAGCTTGTATCACTTATAAAAAATACTATTCACTCAAACTACAGTCACTCAACAATTGCCGGTGTAACCATTTTAAGTGAGTTGGAGACCTTAATTGTATTTTTCACATCCAGTTTAATACAGTTTTTTCGATCCATTATTTTCGTTAGCAAAAAAACGACAACCACACGGAAAGTTGTCTAACCTTTATATCCGTCAGAAATAAACTAAAAATACGCAACGGCTGACAATGCCCAGATGTGTTGGGGACATGTGTACCAACATAACAGGAAACGAATTTTTAAAAGTCATCTTGTTTTCCTGCGCGCATCGCGTACACGGCTTGTTATGAAAAGTATCAATTAACTGACTGTGTAAGGTGTGCTTTTGTGGTTTGGTGCGTTTAATACTACTTGGTATTACAGATCATATGTCGTCATTGAAGTATGCTACATTGAAGGCTTTACTTGAACGCTGCAAAGCCCTAAAATTCTAAGGCAGTTTATCGGAATGTATAAATTCTTTTCTCAAATGCAATTTCGGGTAAATCGTCTCAAATATGTTAGAGCGCCTCTCATGCTTATACTGAAGGCTAGTGCAATACCATGACGCTTGGTAATTATTGTGTGGTCTTGCCAAAAGGTGCAAGAATATCCCCATCACCATAGGCTAATTTAGTTTGTACGAAATAATAACAAGATACCAATCAATCTACCTTACTATGCTAACTGATCAAATGAATGAAGCCGATAACGCACCCTACCGAACTCAATTCCCTCGTTTACCTATTTGCCCAGAATTTATTGCGCTTGATTACTCGCACGCTAATTAACGCTGACAGTATAATAATTTCTAATCCGAAACCAATGCTGATACATATTGACGATAATAAGCAAATAATTCGTTATCGATTATTAAATTTAACTTTCAAGCACTTCTCCTCGATAGGAGTTTATTGGCACTCATATATATACAGACGGCATAATTGTTAACCAATTTTACCATAACATAAAATCTATTTGTATAAAATGAGCACAAAAATTGACTGGAAACAACTAAACATTTTCAAATTTTATTAGTTCTACGAAACAACAAAAACAAACAAAATAAAATTGAAATTAAAACAAATAACAACAAAGAGAACCAACAGAACATGAAAATGTAGTTTTTTTTTTTACTTTTTTCAGAATAACTGTGTTGGACGTAAAAAATTTGTTCGGGATCGAATATAATTTTCTTACTTGTTCTTATTACTTTGTTGAAACTTGCGGTTGTCCTCTTTGTCCTTTTTTTCAGTCATTTCTTATCTGGTTTTTAATCTATGCAGCGTTTACACCAAAAACACAGTGAAAATTCTGGTATCCAACTATAGTACTGCGTACCATAGAAGTCTAAAACGCTATCATAACCTTTTCCAAATGTGTCACATTTAGCACGTTGGGCTGTCTTTACAATATATTTAAATATTTAGAGAAAGATCAAGATAGTAAGCAAAACATACCCTACATGAAGATTATGTTTTTTTACAACCTTGCTCGTTGGGGAGAAAAACTGACGCCATTTTGAGAGGCATTGGAAATATTTGTCCCACCGCGCTCACCTTACACTACAGAACACGAAAATGTAATTCTTTTTTTTTTGACCTTTTTCAGGATAACTGTGTTGTATATAAAAAATTCGATGGCAACCGAAATTAATTTTCTTACTTGTTTTTCCCACTTTATTGACACTTGCGGCTGTCCTCTTTGTCCTTTGTCCTTGTCCTGGCACCATTTTGAGACGCAATGGACATATCTGTCTTCAACTCATTTACAAAAATCTCTTAAGAAATAGCATCAAGATCTTCTATTTTTATTTAGACGAAATAGAAGCAATAGCATGCAAATAGTAAATTCATTTGATACTCATTGTAGATACTCATCTAACTTGAGAGGTGCAATATGCCTACAGGTACTATTTTAACCTCTCGCAAGTAAGATTTATTGTTTTAATCCGCACAATACCTGTAGGAATTTTGAATAAAGTTCACTCACTTTTATTTAATAATTTTAACAATTTTATTGGCTGCTTATATTGGTAATAAATGATTTAGTGTAATGCGAAAGATTAGATTTTTCGATTTATATATAATCGGCTTTTCATGGAAAAGACATCAGAATAGTTTCAATCATCATGAAGTTTCTTGCAGTGTTCGGTTTATTTGTGGTTAGCGTAAGCGCGGCGAATCTAGATGCTATCGCCAAACCAGGTTTTCTGGAAGGGCGCATTATCAATGGCCATGAAGCCGAGAAGGGTGAAGCTCCTTTCATTGTTTCTTTGAAGACCGGTAGCCATTTCTGTGGTGGTTCCATTATTGCTGAAAATTGGGTCTTGACTGCTGGCCACTGCTTGATCTTCGATAAATTTGAAATTATAGCTGGATTACACTCACGAATTGATGAATCCGACGTTCAAATCCGCAAGGTTACCAGCAAGAGACAGCAATTTGTTCATGAAGGATACGGTGGTAATGTTGGTCCCAACGATATTGGTCTCATCTACGTGGATAAACCTTTTAAGTTAAATGCTTTGACTCGTGATGGAACAGCTGCAGTGGCCAAAGTGGATTTACCATCCGGCAAATTCGAATCAACTGGTAAGGGTAAGCTGTATGGCTGGGGACGCGATAACTCAGGAT